ACATAGAACCTTCCTGCTGGAGGAGTGCAGCAACCTTCCTGATGCTTGGGGTGCAGCAAGGATACTCAGTCACCTTCCTGAGCCTCGAGAATGCAGAAGCCGATGCTTCCTGCAGCACTCATCCTGGGACCTAATGCCACTGAAGAGGCCATTTGCAAGAAGCCTGGCAAGAGAGAATTGCCCACCCTGTGAGGCTGTGCAAGAGAACTGTTTTTAAGATTGTTGAAGTTGGGCATCAATTTAATGTGTGTCATAAATCAAAGAGTGCTTGCACCCTATTTTTCCAAACCGGGTGGTATGGAAAACCATGACAACAGCAGCACCTGGAGCCATCCCGCATCCCAAGCTTGATGCTGGTGTTCACAGCCGCACTGAGGATGCGCAAGCCACCCAGTGCAGCTATGAGACAAGGAATTGGCAGCCCTAGCTTCACTCAGCCCCTGCCCAGGATCAACAGAGCCCACCATCTCAGTGACCATCAAGTATAAGGAAATAACCACAAATTTAAAGATGGAATTGGTGGCTTAACCAGTTTACATTCTTTCCCCCCAGTTTTTGCAGCTGAAAATCATTTCTAGATGCTTAAGAGAACAAAGCTTTTCAGGTAGAGCTAATTATTAGACTGCTCACTAAAAAACCAAAAAGGATAAGAAAAATACATGGACATGCAATCTCTTCCTTTTCAGTTACTTATGGTAAGGATCCATTTTTTAATATGAATGCATCAATCACCATACCTGGAGGTGTTTATGAAATGACTGGATGTGGTACTTAGTGCTGTGATTTAACTGACATTGAGATGTTTGGTAAAAGACTGGACTTTATGATCTTGGTGGTCTTTTCCAGCTTGAATGATTTTATGACTCTTTGATTCTAAATGAGGAATTTCCAAACATCAGGAAAGGGTTTTCTCATGACAGGGAGTAGGAATCATTGTGAGATAGTAAAAAACGTGGAAAGCTTAGTGCTTGCAATACCTTTACAGTCTCCTGGCAGTACAGCCTAGCAATGCTTGGTGCAAAGTTCCTTCCTGCCGGACACGTGTAGCTATGTTGATGAGTTGTATTTACGTGTAGCTTCTATGCAAGTTTTTGTTGGGGATTAGGATCTTTCCTTTTGTTGTGGTTTTTTTTCTCACGGAATTTTGTCCCATAAATTGCTAGGAAACAGTAGCAACTGGGAGCTTAAGACTTGAGACAAAAGAAGTGGCCAAACTCAGGGCAGGAGGCTGCACTTCTCTTACAGAGGTATCTCTCGGAGGGGCAGAGACACCGCAAGATTTCGACTGGGAGAACTGGGTTGGGTGCAGCCCTATTTTCTTTGCTCTCGCGGCTTCGGCGGAGGACCGTCAGAGATGTTGCCTGTGGGAGAGAGTTCCCTGCCGCCGCCGGAGCCCAGCCGGCTCCTGCTTCTTCTGTCGTGGGGTGAACCTCTGTCCCCTGTTGTCATGCTGGGGAGCGGGCTGGCAGCACCTCCGCCAGGCCGGGCGGAGCAGCACCTTCCGCTCCCGGTCCCGGCTGCTCGCACCTGACGGGAGTAGAGGGAACCACCCGCGGCACCGGGCACCGTCCCCCGGGCGGTATCGGGGCTTAAGGCACCGGGGAGCTGCTGCAGGGCCGGTAAGGCTGAGGGCGCCGGGGCTGCCACAGGGGACAGCACCGCTGAAGGCACCGTGCTACTGTGGGTGGCGGTGGCACTGAGGATGGTGAGGCTTTGGGGGCTGAGAGGAAGCACTGAAACGGAGGGGTCTGGGGGAGCTGAGGGTGACGGCAGGGATTGAAGGGGCAGAGAAGTGGCATGGGCTGGAGGGCTCAGGGCACTGGGGACACTGAGGGGGATGGCAGCACTGTGGGGACCGATGGGCTTGGAGGCTCTGAAGGGATTGGGGGAGCCGCAGGTGTGCTGAGACTTCAGCGAGGCTAAGGGCATGGTGGAGGTGACTTGGTTATTTCCTTTGCTTCCTAAATCTCTGTCTGCTCCAGAAGAATTGCAACTGAGGGGAATCATGTGGAAATGTACAGGCTGAGTTCCATCCTTATCTTGTTCTCTACATATCTGTATTCAGTTATATTTCTGCATATATATATAGCTATGTTTCTATATGTTGGGGGTTGTATTTCAAATTATATACCATTATACTTATTTAGTTAGGGGTATATAGAGATTTACATAGGTACTTTAGTATATTCAATAGGTACTTTGCATATTTATGTATAGGTTCACCATGTATATCGTTATATTGCTATATTTACACAGATGTCAATATATTTATATACCACATATTGTCATGTTTATATATGTATGGAGTTCTATGTAAAGCTGTGTAGAGTTGTACAGTTTAGTTATTGCTTTGTGGATTTAAAAAGTTCAATTGATATATGTCTCTTTGTATATATATACATATATATGCACTACTTTGGAACCTGCAATGCATTTGATTGTGTGAACTGAAAGTGATATTTATATCTTTATGAATGATCAGTGCACTTGTACCATCTGTAGTAAGCTTTTAAATGAAACTAGTATCTGTATATAAGCAGCTTGGTCACAAGCATTGGATAATTAATGAAATGTTTAAACTGAAAGGAGTATTGAATTGTGGTATTTGAAGCAATTAGCAGATGCCTACCTTAGGATCCAGGACGATTTTGGCAATGGGGGCCGGAGTGGGGGGCGGGGGGTAAGGGACGGAAATAGGCAGGCATGCCTCACAGATTCCCCAGTTCCATAAAGGCAGGGAAAGAAACTGTAGGGTTTGGATAGGCAGTGGAGCCACACATTCAGGGATACACAGACTGCTAGGGCCTGCTAAGGAAAGCATTCCAACTGCAGCTTCAAGAAAGTGAGAGGAATGATGAGCTTGTCTTTACAAACAAGCTGTGGGTCAGTTGATAAGATGTAGCTATCAGTGAGAGACGACAGAAACAATGGGATGGATTCCAATAGAAGATCAAAGAGGCACTGAAAGAACACTATGAATTACATAAAAGTCAAGAAGGGATTATGCATTGGGGGTGGGGGGGGAAGGTACCCCAGGTATCAGGAGTTCCGGGAAGCCTGTACCTCTCAAGTACCTCAGCCCATGGGGAAAGAGAGAAGGGACAAGCGGCCGGGAATTAGGATAAAAAGGAGGCTGCGCCCTCCAAAAATTTGAGAGACCCCAGGGGAATGCCCCATGGCCTCTCCCTTTATTCGAATAAAGTAAAAGGACTTCTCTGTCTCCTTTTTGGACATAAACCTCTGGCGTTTGTGGATTAATTTTCCTGACAAAAGGGAAAGAAAGCCCCAGTCCAAGAGGACATCTTATTTCTTTCAGGACACCATTACTTTCCCACATGACAAGCAGATGAACATAAATCAAGCCCACATACAGTGATACACATATCAACTCTTCAGATATATTTACACTTGTAATTACTTTGGAGTCCAAGAGATCCACTGTACAGTCTACAGTGTATTTGTAGATTTGTGTGCTGAGAAATTAATTTAAAAATACAGCCCTTAGCATTTTTCAGACAGTTTCAGACATGTAAAATAGAAATTTGCCTCAGCTTCTAAAACCCCTCACAAGCTATCCATCCTCCTACTCCTAGGGAATTTTTACTGCATTAGCTGGGTGTTCGGATGCTTTAAAAATTTAGTAATATTAGAGATCATGAGAAAAATTTCTTGCTATAAGTAAAAGCACTCAGTTTTAGTTCCGATTTACTTAAACGAGCATGATATAGGATAAAAAAAATCTGTTATCTTATAACGGGATATTATAAATCAATGGCTATGCTTGTAGAATGAATCAGCATTAGTTAAGAGAACATAATTACATATATCACCCTGTCAGTTATCTTGTTTTCTTCATACTTTTTGCTCCAGTAAAAAAGTCCATAGCAGTATGACAATATTAGATCCTAAGAGAAAAGAAATATCTTGTATGACCTCTAGTGAAGCATCTTCTTTGGTAAGCTATTTATTGAGGTAAGTGGTAAAAACAGAATAATGAACATCTAAGGCTGTAGAACTTTGTATACTATACATTTCAGCACGAGAAGATTCTGCCTCTGCTTAGATCTGGCTACAGTTCAGCCAGAACGAAACAAAGCCTCTGCCCAGGGGTGTTGTTATGGCATATTCAAAGGGAATTTTACCTTTGAATGCTCAAAAAATATCCTGACATGATGGAACTTACCTTCTCCTGCAGATTATTTTCCTAATTCTCGCCCCGGTGAGGTCCCCTGTTTTATCCCGGTACTTTGTCACCCACCCTGTCCCTGCGCTGCCACCTCCTCTGTCCCACCGATGTCCCCTGCTCTGTTCCCGACAGTGCACCGGTGTTGCCATTTGCCCTATCCGGCCGTGTCCCCTGCCTGCGACAGAGGTCTTCCCGTCCGATCTCTGAGATATCCCTGCACTATCCCCTTTCTTGTCCCAGCCGTGCTCTCGACCTATTCCGGCGGGGCCCTCTCTCCTCTCCCGGCGGTGTTCCCCATCCTGTCCCGGGCTGTTTCGTTTCCTCTCCTGGCGCTGTTCCCTGCCTGTCCCGGTAATGCCCCGTAGCGGCCTTTCGCACCCGCTCCGCGCAGAGGCACGGCTCGCTCTGCCGGCGCCCTCGGCCCTTTCTGACGCAGCGGCGGCGGCGCCCGCGGCGAGCGGGTCGTTGCCGCCAGGGGGCTGCGGGCGCCGGGGCCAGCCGTGACGGACAGCTCAGTTAGCCAATAGGAGACAGAGCAGCTGGAAGGGCGGGGCGGACGCAGCGCGGGCGCAGCTGCCGCCGCCCCAGGGGGGGTCTGTGTCTGTACGCGTCGCGTCGCGTCACGTCCCGCTGCTCTGGCTGCTACCGTGGCTACCTGGCCGCGCCGCTGGAGCAGGAGGAGGCGCGGGAAGCACCGAGGAGCAGGAGGAGGCGGAGGGGGAAGCACCGTGGAGAACGTCGCCCGCCCGCCCGCGCCGCCGCCTGATGCCGCGGCGCCGTCCTGCCGCCGGCCCGGGGACCTGCATGGCCGGGCATGAGGAGCGCTGCGCCCTCCCGCAGCCCCAGGGCTGAGCCGCCGCTCGCCGCCCTCCGGCTGCTGCTGCTGCTGCTGCTGCTGAGCGCAGGTACCGGGAGTGTGGGGCTGGAAGGGACGGGAGCGCAGCCGGGTGCCCAAAGACGCGAGGTGCTCGCGGGTCCTTTTCCTTCAGGGAGAGCCTTTCATGAGGAGAGATTCGCGAGCTGGGCCTGGTCCTGAGAGGAGAAGGCTGATAGGGGATCTCGTTAATGCGTATAAGTATCTCCATCCGAGGGGATGGTGCCAGACTCTTTCATTGGTGCACGGCGGCAGGAAGAGGAACGATGGCTTATAAACTGAAATACAGAAGGCTTCACCTCAGCATGAGGAAGAACTTCCATGTATTAAGGGTGACAGAGCACTGAAACAGGCTGCCAGGGAGGTCATGGAGTTTTTCTCTCTCGGGACATTCATACCCCCCCACCTGGACACGTTCCTGTGTTACCTGCTCTAAGTGATCCTGCCTTGGCAGGAGGGTTCGACTAGGTGATCCCCATTCCAGCCCTAAAAAATCTGTGATTATGTGATTTATTCGATTGTTTGATAACTTGACAGACTTGCTCAGCTAGCCTGATTTTTTGTGATTAAAATAATATTACAAATACAGCTGAAGGGAAATAAAATTTTTGATGCTTTGAAAGTCTGGCTCTAAACTCGGGATTCCCTCCGTCAATTTGCTTGGCATGGGTCTTTTTTGTGTATCTGAAAACACAGAAGTTGATTGTTGTTAGGGTTTTTTTTCTGTGTTTTGCAGAGAATATGTATGGCTTGCACAAAGAAATTTTCATCTTGCTTACATGAATCATGGTCATGCTTGCTGTAGGTGGAGAGTTCCTCATTCTACTTTGTATTGTCTTGGGATTTTGACAGATTTGTGTTAGCTATGCATCACTGGCAAAACGTATTGCCCCTATAAATTCATGGTTTGGCCATTCAGAGTAAGTCACGTGAGCACTGACTCAGGAAGGTCAGCTAAGGGGCAGGCAAAGAAATTGCTGGTATCCTCTCGTTACTGGGTGCATTGCAGAAAACAACTATTTAAAAATGAAAAATGTTGTTATTCGGCCTGTTTTCCACTTCTCACAGCTCATGAATTTTTCAGATATATTATGTTTTTCCTGGTTTTTTTCCAAGCTCCCAGGTGTGTTATTGTAGGCATTTTTGTGGCATTCAAAACTCACTTTAGGATAGTGAAAAAATACAGATAAATGTTCCCACAGATGAATTTTAGTAGATAGTTTTGCAGGCTTGGACAGCTGTTTCATGAAGTTGTGCACATATCCTTTATGAAGGTCCATTTTCTCTTTGGATGGCAGGAAATGCAACCTGTCTTAGATTGTGGACTTCTGGTTTTAACCTGTGTGAAAAGTGTGGCTCTGTTTCCTTTAGTGTGTCTTGTTAATTTAATTTTTGCTCCTGGTAAGGTCTTTGGTAAAAGTTACCTTCAGAAAGCCATTGTTAACTGCCCTGAGAATCTGGAAGGGTTTCAAATCATACTGTGAGACTGTGGAGGAGACAACTGTAAAAACTCCAGTTTGCTTGCAAGGGTGTTAACTGTGCTTTTTTACTGAAACCAGGTCATGACTAGTTTGCTCATGTAAACGGAGCTGTGTAGCAGTTACATACATCTGATAAGTACTTCAGGCTTTTGTGGGGACAGTGTTTCTCTCCCCTTTGTCTTATTGCTGAATTAGGCTTAATTTTTTCTAAAATGCAATGTTTCCCTGACAGGTGAGCACTCTCTTTCAAGTTTCTTTCAAGTTGTTTTCTACAGTACTTGTGGGAGTGGAAAGGGGTTGCCACCTAAGAGGTTTGCTTTTATGTCTTTCTGCTGTCTATTTCGTGCTTAGGTAACTGTCAGCTGCAGACATCTTGTGGAATCCAGAAGTGCACCACTGATTTTGTATCCTTCACTTCACATCTAAATGCAGCTCTTGAGGACTTTGATTTGGAGTTCTGCAAGGCCCTGCGGACATACTCTGTGTGTACCTATCGCAATTCCAAAGTATGCCGTGGAAACCTAGTCTACCATTCTGCAGTGCTTGGGATCGGTGATCTCATGACCCAGAGAAACTGTACCAAAGATGGACCCACATCCTCCACCAACCCTGAAATGACCCATGATCCTTGCAATTACAGTGGCCACACAGAAGCAAGAGAACATCATGGGGGAGAGAAGACTCCTCGTCCTACTTATCTATTTTGTGGCTTGTTCGGGGATCCTCATCTGAGGACTTTTAAAGATCACTTCCAGACGTGCAAAGTGGAAGGCGCTTGGCCCCTCGTAGACAATAACTACTTATCAGTGCAAGTGACCAATGTGCCTGTTGTCCCAGGATCCAGTGCTACTGCTACAAACAAGGTACAGATTTTTTTGTGCACTGTGCATGCATGGAGAAGTAAAAGGCCAAGTCAGTTAAGTAAGTTATTTAGCCCTTAACACTGAAGTGTAGAAGCTTGAGGATCTTCTATGCAGTAGTATAAAAAAGTAAAACTCTTAGCGTCTTCTTTAATGGGCATCAAGCAAAACAGGTTCTTTTCTTTCCTCTGCTCCTGCTCATTACAAGAAAACCTGTGCATTTCACCATACAAGCCTGTAAGGATACTGATGTAACACTTTGAAACAGTTATTGATTATTGAACATCTGTGACTGCCTGTGCACTAAGTAGAAATTAAATCATACAATGCTTTGGGTTAGAAGGAAACTGAAAGATGAAAAGAATGTATGTCTCTGCTTTTCATTAATTTTCTGAACTTCACAGCTATAACAGTAAGAAACAAATAATACTTGCACAAAAAACTAGTTACCAAAATACTGATGGGTCAGATCAGAAACAAGAGGGCAAACTGCAGAGGACTGAGAGGGGGTAGCAAGCTAAATGCTTGTGACAAGGAGTTAGTACCTTTGCTTTACTAAACAAGCAGTGGCCTTAAAATTGTGCCAAGAATATTAAACCCTTGTTGAGACGGGCATGGCTTAAGATTGAACTCCTCTCAGATACTTGAGTATGGAGTAGGAATACATCCACTAGTATTTGATAACTGATACTATTTCTTTAACTTAAGAAAAGTCCTAGTCTCTTCCTGCTGAATGCAGGTAGCAAGTATGTCCATCAATTACTTGAGCCTGTTTTTGAAGCTGATACTGCCACATACCTCTTGGAATGAAAGGGCTTTGTAAAAAATTGTAGTGTAGCTCTTGTATTGTCAATCTGTGTCAGCCTATATGTGCACAGCTTCAAGACATTTACACCAAAGAATTTTCACTGTGTTGTTAAGCCTGGAAGTAGATATTTTAATTACTAGGAGTTGTCTATCACAATAGGGTAGAGCCTACACATCTTCTGTGGAATTGGCTGAGCAGTAGTATTAATAGTAGGAAAATCAATTTTACTGTTAAGTTTGTGCTGGATTCTGAAATATTGACCAATGGCAATGCTTGTATGAGTGAATAGACATTGGACTGAAGCTCAGAATTACGTTTTCTTAATTTGTGCCAGTTTCAAAAACAGTCTTCATTGTGAATGAGCTCTGAAGGTGTATACAGTAAGAGAATGACGCTAGTGTGAGTAAGCTTTGCAAAAGGAGACTGCAGTCTCCTCCACTAGCTTTTTCTAAAGACTCCTTAAAAAGTGGAAGAAAAAGCTGCATTTCATAATCTGCAGTAAGCTTTTATCCTCAGTTTGGCTAAACTCTTACAAAATTTTCTTCATTTCCTTCTTCCTGATAGTGGTAGAGGAAAAAGTTAAGGCTCTTGTGTACGAATCATGTGGACGGCTAGGGCCGTAGTAGATAGGTGATCTTAAGTTTAGCCACATTCTGAAAATGACTGACTGTGGTAACATTATGACATTATGCTAGTATATGTCCTTTCAAAGAGATAAGGAGGAGAACACCAGTAGTAAGTGTATGTACATGCTGAAGGAAAGTATGGTTTTAAAAGGTGTGCCTTCTGCCTTTATTTATTCTCAAGAGGTTGGTTTGGTTTTTTTTTCTTTTTCTTTGACTTGGGTAAAATGTTTTTTTCCTTCTCTTCTAGTAGTCCCCGTCATTGCCCAAGTACAGCTAAGTTTGCAGAAACAATTAAATAAAACAAACTCTATGGTTTACAATACTAGAAATATTTCTAATGTTGAAATATATTGTATCATATCTTATATGTTGCACAGTCCTTGAATTTTTTCTCTTTTTTTGGCACTTGTTGTAGGCAAGGAAGGTTGTTTGAATGTACAAGTGACTTATCTTCTAAGTTTTAATATCTCTTATGCATGCTCTTGACTCTGTTATTTCTAGTACAAACAGGTTATTGTAAATGAAATAGAAAAGGCTTGTTAAGCTACCCTGCCACTGCTAATTTCATTCCTGTAACATTTTCCTCTGCAAGTATTCCACTTTGATTGTGGTTGACTATCTGGTGCTGGATGTACTTAGCTGATTTTGGCCACAGGGCCAAAGCTGTAGCTTAAAGGACTTTTAAAGAGCTGCACTTCAGTGCCATTTATTTATATAGTGTAATCCCTAGCTGAGAGCATGCCAGTAGGTGTTCTACCTTCATCATGAAGAAAGTTTTCAGCAGTTCCTTTTTGTTAGTCTGGCTGTTTTTTCATTGCATGTATTTGAAATAGATGTTTAATGGGAAATAAAAATAAAGGTATATGCTGAATTTAAATTGTACAGAAGCCAAAGCAAAATCTAACGTAATTAGTCCCTCTCTAAAGCAGGCCTAATGAAAGGAAGGACAATAAAAGTAGATTTAGTTTTTCCTGAATCATTTTTCGGGGAATTGTTTAAGAAGCCATAGAAACAGAATGGTTAATCTTCAGCCCATTGTCCTTTTGAAAGGTGCAGACCATCACTTGCCCTTGTAGGGAGTTAGTACTTTTCACTTTTATCCTTAAGTAAATGTGATTTACTTGTGCTTTTATCCTGCTTTTCTGCTGTACCAGTCTTTGAGGGAGTTGGTAATGAAGGCAACCTTACGTGTGAAGTTTTCTTCTCCCTCAAAAACCTAATAGACTATGGGAACCCCAGCAGTCTGAGGACTATCCAATAAGTTCATAAAGGACAGGAGAATGCCCGGAGAACACATCAAGTAGGAATGTGAGGAATAAGCACATGTTGTTTCTCCCCTACCCCTCACTGTGCATCTGGCATGAGAGTATGAGAAGCAGGAAAAATTTCTCTTTAATTCCTTAATTGGAAGAGCACATCTTGTGAGAGTTGTGTACTTAAAAGAATGCTCTGGAATTTGTTTGTAGGTGTTTTGCATATTTGTGTTACTCACAGTAACATCTTTTTTCCACCATGAGAAAAGCTATTTTATGTTTTGTGGTCCAGCTGAAACTTTGAAACTCCAGGTTTTTGAGCTTGCCTGATGTGCTTATGCCGCTTGGCATAGGATCCTAGGGCCTTTCAGATGGAAAAGGAAGATCATCAGCAAGTAACTGGGAAACTGAATTTAGGCTCCATTTTCTTTTTATTTCTGACAGACTTCTTGCATAGATTTTGAATAGGTCACTGGCATTATTTATGTTTGATTTCTGCAACTCTAGATAAAGAAAGAGCTTCCCTGTCTTGGAAGTGGTTTTGCAAATACCTGAGAATAAATATCTATTACAGGGAGCGGGTAGGAAGGATATTGTATAGTGCATTAAATAGAATGCTGGGGTTTTAAAATTTTATTTATTGTATGCTTTAATTGGAGGGGTACAAAGTCTTTATAGTATTTTGCTGCTGTGACAGGTGTTCTGGATATCACTAGAGTATTTGTCCCTGAATAGCAAATGAGGCAGAGATGCTTGGGCTTGCCAATGGAAAGCTTTCCTTCTTGTTTGGAGGTGTCTTCGTGTTTGCATTAATTGGAAATGGAGGTTTTCCTTTCCAGGTTTCTTATAGTAGATAGCTTGAGGGTGAGAGAGTGAATTTAGGGGCACAGAGAAGGAGAAAAAACTACAGAGCTTCCTACTGTAAAGATTGATTGGGTATAAACCTTGCATCCTGGGAATTGGTGCTATCAGCAGGGTAAAGGAGTTTGGGGGATAAATGTTCTTTTACCCAGAGTCAAAACACTTTAAATACCTCTATTGTAGTGTGATTTCAATTTTTGCAGGAAATCATTGCAGAGTGAGCACAGTGTAATAGAAAAATAACTAAAAGGTAATTGGAAGATAAATGTTTTATATGGTTTCAGTAGAAAGATGAGGTAACTTGTCACATATTATTATTTTCATCTTTATGGACATTTTGCTTAAGGTAGAGATGAATTTGTCTTATTAAGCAGAAGTAGCTTTATACTACAGTTTTGTTTGAGGTTGCAATAGAATCATTTAAGTTGGAAAAGACCTTTAAGATCGAGTCTAGTCATAAACTGTCAATTCCACCACTAAACATGATCCATGAGTGTCTACCTGCCTTTTTAACATTTTTGGGATGATGACGCAAGAGGCTGGCATGTGCTCCAGTGCTTGATGACTCTTTCCGTGAAGAAATTTTCTCTAATATTCAATCTAAATCTTCACAGCGCAGCTTAAGGCCATTTCTTCTCATCCTATCACTTGCTACTTGAGAGGAGAGACTGACTCCCACCTGTCTACAGCCTCCTTTCAGAGACTTAAGAAGAGCAGTGAGGTCTGCCTTGAGTTCCCTTCTCTCCAGGCTGAACACCCACAGCTCCATTAGCCTCTCTTGATCAGGCTTGTGCTTCAGATCCTTCCCAGCTCTGTTTCCTTCCTCTGGGCTTGCTCCAGCACCCCAATGTCTTTCTGTTTGTGAGAGGCCCAAAACTGAACACAGGATTAGAGATGTGACCTCAGCAGTGCTGAGTACAGGATATGGTCACTGCCCTGGTCCTGCTGCCCCCACTGTCTGACACAAGCCCCAGTGTCCTTGTCTTCTTGGCCCCCTAGGTCCACTCTGGCTCATGTTCAGCTGGCTGAATTACCAGCATTCCTAGGTCCTTTTTCACTGGGCACTTTTTCACTCAGTCCTCCCCAACCTTGGCGGTGTTATAATAATGGTTGAAGTTAATGATGTTAGAGGTCTTTTTCTACCCAAACCTAGAATTCTATGAAATGCGTAGTAAAATAACATGTAGTGATACCTTCACCATTCTAATTGCATTGTGACACTAAGGAAGACAATTACAAGAACTCAAGAGTTGAAAGTGATGTTTTTGTTTAAGGCACACAAGTCAGGCACCTTCTACAAATACATTAGGGTCTTCCCTAGAAATGACAGTTTTACAGCTTCAGTAACACGATCATTGAAATGTTTTGCGCGTGCAGTGGAATTTTAGGAAACTTTGTGAGCAGTATACTCATCAGTACTGGCATCAGTAGGAATGGGAGGATAAAGTCCAAAGTGAAATGTGCAAATTGTATGTGTGGGGTTTTTAGTAATCCTAGTATAGCTGATGTTTGTTTATTGTATCCTCAGATAAGCCTCTTGAAACCTGTATTTTCATCTTTCAGGGTGCCTCACTGCAGAAGAGCTCTGTATGTGCCCAGAGAAAAAGGCTGATACACTGATAGTTTAAAAAATCTTTATGTGAAGATTTTGGCATTTGAGTTTTTCCATCCTAAATTTAGAAAGGGCAGTTAATCTCAGTCTGTTAGCAGTACTGCCTAAGCAGCCTAGTGAAGGTGTTCTTGGGACTCAGAGTATGAAGAATACTGTAGGTAGATAAACATATATAACATGTGTTGAGTTTGTTAGAAATAACTATTTTCACTTTTTAATATTCTCTGTTACACTAAGAATTAGAAGAGAGAAAGCTCTGCAATGAAATTTTCCTTCATCTCCCTTTGCAACAGGTTCTGGAGTATCTGTCAGTACCAGAGCATGATACTGAGATAGGAGTGTGTGATAAGGCAAAGCCCCTGCAGCACTCTGGTTTTACTGATCTGGCCTATGGATTAGATGGATGTCACACAACAGACAACAGAATATTCAAAATCAGTGTCTTGAGCTGCAGTGTTTAAATACAAGTATGTCCTTGGAAAATCTTAATGGTCTGTGTTAGTTCTCTGTTTGGAGTGTCCTTGCAACATACATGGAGGCCTTTATTCATCTAACAGTCTTTCAGCTCTCATTCAGCATCCAGTGTTATTGCTAATCTTAAATTAGGGTAAAGGCTTCTTGTTCTTTCTCTGTGTTCCGAAATTGTGTGCATTTCATTTTTGTAAATGAGGAAGTTCTGGAGAGAGCAGTTTGGTAGCTGCTTCCTGATAAATTTTGCTGGGTGCCTTGCTTAAATGTTTTACCAAGCAGCCAGTTTGGTGTCTCATTAAAACAAGAGACTTCTTTTTGGTTCCAGGGTTGTTCAAGTGCTAAGGAGACTTAGAGCTTTAGTTCTGTAGGTGTGTAAATCATTGTTTACTCACAGAACAATGCAAATGTGCTCAAGGAAGTATCTATGCTTCTTTGTCTGAGCAGGCTGAGATAGAAGTCTGTCCCATCCAAACTGTGTTACACAAAATAAAAGGCCTTTTACTGCGCTGTGTTCTGGATTATATGCAGAATTACTAATCACTTGAGAGACCTCAAGTTTCTCTTCTGTACATTGCAGAGCTTACTTTAGTAATCACAAAGCTGTGGGGGATCTTTACAGCAACCTGGGCACTTGTGCTTTTTCTGGATTTTGGGCATAAGCATTCCAGCTCAGCTCTGGTTCACGGACATCACTTTACCGACTTACTTGACTACAGATGGTTTCAAGCTGTATAGCTGATACATCTCATGCTGTATAACTGATTAATTAAAGAAAAAACATTGAAAAATCAGCAGTAGTGAGAGCATATGAAGTCAAAATAGTAAGTATTGTCTGTGTTGTGAGACAAACACTGACAGAGCATCAGCCATCTGGGATGAACCAAGTATTGAAAATAAATGTAATATTGTTTAGGGTATGTCTGCATACTCCGAAGAAGAAATTGTTGCAGTGGGAGGAGAGAGGTGGGAAGACTCGTGCCTTATACAAGTGGTATAGAGAAGTGAGGCTAATGAGGACAGAGGTTTAATTCAAACTGTTTGTAACTGCCTCCTGATTTAACTTCTCACTCTTACTTTAAAACAGGCAGAAATAAAAGTTGTGCCAGAAGTGTGATGGTTAACTGAAACTAAAATCTGAGGTTGCTGATTTTATGCCTAACGTTGGTTTAAAAATCCCTTCTGATATGTTTTGAAGTAATCTGAGTGTCTTAAAAGACTACTTAAATCATAGACTGTACCTAATTTGCTATAATCAATCAATGATGAAAATAATTATTAAAATATCTATTCTTGTTGCAGAATGTCTTTTGACCTTTTCAAGAAGTCATTCTCCTCTAGTCACTCTTCTTCTAAAGGAAGTAGCATATCTGTTTGTAATATTTAGATGTGAATTCTCATTCTGAATTTTGTTTTAGGAAAAGCTGCTAGACACTCCAAACTTGGTCTGCCTTACAGCCTTAGTTATTCACTTGAAGTAAGACTGGAGGACCAGGTTTTTGTTTTGTTGTCACTTACTCCAATAAGTAGAAAGGTTTAAAAGACTAGTTCTAATTAAAAAAAAAAAATATTAATTGCTTTATGCTAATGATTTTGATGTTGAAAGTCACTCATTGTTCAAAGGCACATCTTTGGGTATCTTTCAGTCTTGCCTTGTTTCTCTGTGGGCACATTCCTAGCACCGTGAACTTGAAGTGTCAAATCTCCCAATTCCTAGGACTAATGTATCCAGGATCCCTATGCTGTTACTTGCCTAGTTGTTGTTCTTGGTCCTGATTATACCTTCCACTGATTTTGCATTGTCTCATTCTGGTTTTGCCTTCGTTACCAGCATTGTAGGAATTACTCTGTCCTTAGGCTTCTACATCATTGCAGGATGCATGCCAAAGGGTTAAGAAGGTGTCAGGCAGGAGGTCGTTGTGATGCCTAATAAAATAAAAAGTGTTTTCCTTTCCTGACCTCAAGGCTGTTGCCACATGCTAATAGTCTTGCTTACATACCAACATGAGAACAAATTTAACGTTTGCTGTCCAGTAAAATACTGCTTTAAGCATGTGTACAATCTGTTTTCCGTAGGCATGAGTTGTGGACAGCTATCAGGTTTTAAGGTAGTTCCAGATGTATTCAGTTACAAAATGGAAAAGGGCTTGAGATGATGATTTCTTTCCACTAACTTTGCTGCTTTTTCCTCTCCCCCACAGATAACTATTATCTTCAAATCATACCAAGACTGTACAGACCAGAAAGTATATCAAGCAATGACTGATGACTTGCCTGCAGCTTTTGTTGATGGTACAACAAGTGGAGGAGATGGGAACACCAGGAGCTTGCACATTGTGGAGAAAGTCAGTGGCAAATATATTGAGATTCATGCTAGGTACATCGGGACCACGGTGTATATCCGCCAGCTTGGGCACTACCTGACCTTGGCCATTCGCATGCCCCAGGAGCTGGTCATGGCCTACGAGGAGAGCCAGGATCTGCAGCTGTGTGTGAATGGCTGCCCTTCCAGTGAGCTTATTGATCAGAGTGGCCACCTGCCATTGCCTGTGATGGGAAAGCTGCTTCCTTGGGGTGCTGTAGCTCATCCCCGGTCAGGGTACACACTGGAAGCAGCTACCATGAAATGCCATGAGAAGATGCTTGTGAAGGACATCTATTTTTACTCCTGTGTATTTGATCTACTCACCACTGGTGATGCCAACTTCACAACTGCTGCTCACAGTGCCTTGCAGGATGTGGAGGCACTGCACCCCAGCAAAGAGCACTGGCATATCTTTCCCAGGAGTGGAAGTGGTAGTGTGGGCAGGGATAGCAAATTCTTCGTCAGTCTTGGACTTCTGTGCTTGACTGTTGTTGTGTGTTTGTAGGATTTTTTTTGTTTAGACTGTAACAAAATTTTGAAATATATATTGTCATAATATATTGAGTAAAGATGAATATATATGTATATACCATGTATATGAAGGGATGTTTTATCTTGGGGCATACTCCAGATTGGATGTTAATTGTTTTCATGTATATTTGATTCAGTATTCTCTGTATCTATTTGTTTTACAGTTGTTGAAAAGTTTTATAATGTCCCTGCACTGGGACCTGATAAAAAGCACTTTATTTTTTACATACTAAATATCTAAGTGTGTATCTGAGTAACTATGTATTATACATGAAATACTCAGTGCTCTCTCTTCTCTAAGTACTACTTTGATTTAACACATTTTTTTTAACTGAATTAGCTTGTGGGTTTTCCCAAGAGACCTTCAGTTAATGTCAAACGTGTATATTTTGAAGCTAGTGAATGGTCTCTGAAGAGACTGGAGAGAACTTAAACTTAAAGGGAATACCTTTTTTTATTATTTTTGGGGTTTTTTTTGGTTTTTTTTTCTTTTTTTTTCTTTTTTTCCCCCCTCTCTTCACATGCCCTCCAGTTGTCTGTTATAGAAGGCTACAGATTTATATATATATTTTTCATGCTTGGAAACTCCACAATGTATCATTCTTTGCAAAATGTTTTAGATGTGGTTCATCAGTATACCAGTAAGTATTTGTGTGTATGTAAAAGAGTGGATGTGCAGTGTGTAAATATTTTAAATTATTATAATAGAAGAATAGTTGCCACCCCCTGCCAAGGAATGTCAGTAAGGTGGTATAAGTGACCCCTGGTGTGGTGCACAGAAATTGGGGGTGTAGACCACGTACTGGGCAGGTAATCCATAAATAAATTCTCAGTTTGTCTCCTAGCCAAATAGGATGGATAGGATATTGGATAGGAATATGCTGAATACAGTTGTTATACTTCTTGAAGATGCTAGTTCCCTTCTGCTAAATAAGACATGTAAATTTATGACCAGCAGCTGCAAACCAGGCCAGTTTATTGAAAAGACTGTGTGTGGGAAACTAAGAGGAGGAATCCCTCAGGATCCCAGTTGTGAAATTCCTTTGTAGTGTTTGCAGAGACGTATAAGAACTTCAACACATGGGTTTGTGTTGCTGCTGCATCCCTCTTGAGAGGCATTATAAAAATCCTCTTTTCATGTTATTGGAGAACTCTCAAACCAGAAGAACCCTGGAACAGAATTTTTTTTTTCTATAAAACTAAAGAAGAGGTGGTGAAATTGGAATATGATACAGAAGAGTCCACAAGATTACAGAACTTAGTGTAACAAGATGATCTGCTAAGTACATATGGAGTATTTCAGCTGCAAGGTTAATCACACAGTGTGAAGGTAAATTGAAAGTGCCAAAACTTAAAAGAAGTTATGTCAGATACATACAAAGAAATTCAGACCTAATAAACCTAATCACAACTGTGAATGTTGCTTTGCTTGTGTTACAGCTAGAAGTTGAAGTGTGTGAGAAATAATCTTACCTGGAAGATGTATCAGTGAAATAAGTTGTGGAAATTGCTGTAGAAAGTAAAAGGAGTTTTAAATGTTTATGTTTACTGTGCACAGAAGGCAGCTGTCATACCTGTGGGAGCTTACTCAAAAGTGTCAGTCTCATACTACAAGCTCTGCAGAAGGCTGTGTAATGTATTCACAGCCATTACTCATGCTGTCTGTTTGCTGGCCTTTGTCTTAAGCTGCCCTTGGATATTAGTGGCTTACATAAAAGGGTTTTTTAAGTATCTGCTAGAGCACTCCTAACCATATGGTAACAGCTTTGAACAGATGATGATAGTTCTCTGTGGTTATGGAGTCTGACAACTTCCTTAGTAAGCATGTTGCAGGACTGGCAAAGACTGCCTAATTTTTTATTTTGTGTGTACAGAAGGCTCCTAAATAAGTATATTATAAAAAGAAATAGTAGGCTTAATTGCCTGTCAAACCAAAAATTCCTTTTTTCTTCCTGGAAAACCTATCTGGAAGAAAAACCTGCATAGAGCGTCTGTTAAGTGGAACATAACCAGAGAGTACACCTTTTGTTCTTATGGTCAAGCTACAAACCATCATTGCATTTCCTTTCAGATTGCTGCTATACTGCCAGAAAATAGAAAATTATTATTACTACCATGCATTTGTTTTAAGAGTTTTGAGGCTGTGCAAGTGTCTGTTTACTTATATATGCTCCGAAGTGAAGCAAGCAATTCTGCAAGCTTTGTGCGGCCTAATGAGAGTTTCATTAGTGGACATGTTTTGAAAAAAAGCCCAGGAGTCTCATGGCTTTCTTCTCTTCTGAAAAGAGAAACACAGTGCAGTTTAAAGTCTTGCATTCATTTTCTTCATGTAAGTTCAGCTGTGGTCTTTTACACTGAAGTTTTCATGCTTTGGTTATTTAATGCCCATCTATGTCTTGACTGATATAAATTCTTTTCTGTCTTGCCCTGCCAGCTGTTGAAAACTGCCATCTATACAATGTTCGAACACGACTAGTAATGATTCTGTTTTTTTAAGCAGGTATTCCGTGTTTTTTACAAGATAAGCATTCTCTGTATTGTGCTGCTACTTCACTGTATTCAAAACAAACGGATTGTGGGGATCGGTGTTGTCGATTAGGTTTTATAGTCCGTATTATGGAGAGCAACACAGCCACAGATCAAGTACAAGTATACAGGTAAATTTGTGATGCTGATGTAAAGCAATTGCATCTGATCTGATTCAGAATTCTTTTTGTTTGTAACTAAACTTTGTTGAAACTAAAAGCTGCTATTAGTAAATTAACTGTGAACAAACAGTAAGATTGATTATAGTCTTTGTGCAGGGGTATATATCAGAACTCATTAACTATATATAAAAAAGTATGTCATATGGAGTGTGTCAATTATTTATAGGAATTATTTTACACTTGTTTTAAAGCTTAATTTCCACTTCCGTCTACACTGTAACAATAAGAAGAGTACTCCTTTATATACACAAAATATGTACATGTCATTGATTTAGCATGTCCTGAGGGCTGGATCCACAAAAGTTCTGTATGCCTAGTTTGTGTGTGAGGTATCCAAATCCAAAACTGAGACACACAGTAAAGCCTTTTCAGCTTGAGCCCAGATGTTTCTCTAGGATCTCTAATTCTCTTCTTAGTCCAGTAAGCCCGCTTAAAGAATCTGTATTTAACTACTGAGCAGAGAAAATGAAAGCAGTTCTGAGGTTTGTACCCTTACCCCAGCCAGAGTCATATGTTGGTCATCTGCCTGGTTTACTTGCCGGGCTTTTTGGGCAGGTTCTTGACTTACTCACTCATGTTTGGCAGGTGATGGTGGAGTTGTTTAGAGTATAGTGGTGTAAGCATTTTGGAGTTTGTGAGAGGCAAGTTGAAATTCCTTTCTGCCTTGGTCTTTCACATCTTGTGAGAGTAACAGCTGGGAGCTGTTATTGAATAAACACCATTTAGTAGGGGTACAGGGGGATGGCTTTATCCAGACTTGGGTCCAGAGGGTCTTAGGCGCCTCAAAAGAGGCTGGAGGCATACTTCAATGCTTGAGAGGTATTTCACCTAAATTCAGCAAACTAAGCCTGCAATCTGCCTCTGTAGTTGTTGGAGTGAATGGCAACATTTTAGATTGGATTGAGTTATCTTCTGGAAATGCCTATTGCTATTGTCCATGAAAGGAGGAAACAGCTATTTGAACAGCTGAAGTCGGGTGAAACTGGTCCAGCCCTGACGGGTACACTTTAAATTCCAGCCTAGGTTCATACCCAGGGGCAACATATGTTCACTAGAGACAAGCTGCCTGATCTAGCACTTCCTGCACAGCTCCATGTCTCCCAGACCTGGCTGATGGGATCACCTCGGCCTGGGAAAGTCTCACACCAAAACTAGGTCTTGCCACTAGTCTGAAACCTACGATGTTTGATTTCTCTTGCAAGTAGGACTGAAGAAGGCAATGACGCCACCCCATCCTTGCTGTATTGGCCCCTTCTCCCAAAGCACTCCATGTGGGTTACATGAAGGGTGGAAAAGAGAAATGAAGAAACTGAAGTCAGAGAGTGAAGAGGAGACCAAGTGGGTAATGTCTTCGTGGTAGTGCTTCTAATCGTAATTTTGGTCTTTAAATCCCAGACTGTTTACATTTTCCAATGAATGATGTAACGTGTATAACAAGTGTGCAGAGGAACAAGGGCTGCATATTCTAATTAGAGTATTTAATCTTGCAGGCTTTTCTTGGATGTGTCCTTGCTGCCATTACCATACAAGTATTTTACAGAAAGCAAAACAGTTTCAACAGCTGAGGTTGGCAAAACCCTTACAATACCCTGCAGGCATATTGTTAATGCATTTGACTAGAAAGAGACAAACTGTGAGAATGAGATGTGTAAACAAAGGTTTTTTTACCTACTTGGGTGACTGCAATAGTTACCCTGCTTGGCTTACCATTTTTATCTGGCAGTGATAAAAGAGCAAGTTGCTGTCCTTTCTCAGGAAAAATCTCTTGGAAGTGTATGAGACCTGACTTCAAAGAGTGTATAGGAATTGAAACCACTGTATAGGTGGGGTATGTCAGAGGAATAACTTTCTGTAACACTGCCTGTACAGACATCTCAGTGGTGGCAAACCCGTGTGGGCAGGTCAAGTTAAAAAGTGATACACCACCATCTGTGATACCATCTCTAATCCCTTACTTCTGACCTTTGTTGTGCCAGTGGTTTGGCATGAGCTGCCTTCATCTAATTTTTGCTCCTTCAGGTGCTGCCAAGCATCACTCCTGAGCTTGCTTAAAACACCATGAACTAATTCTCTGTAAAAATAAGTAAGTTGATACCCATCCATGAGAGAGAACTGTTACCAGAACAGGCTTTTTAGGGGGGAAAAAAAATTAAAATGCTTTTGCAATTATAAATCCCATAAAAAGGCCTTAATCATTAAATTGTGCCTTGCACAGTAGTGTTTGGGATTCTTTGGAATGCTACCATTTCAGAATGATTTTTTTTTAATGTGCATGTAAAAAAGTCTCACCTTCTTGCAAATGAGATGAACTTTATGTGTGTTAAAGAGATCAATAAATAGTCCCATTGGGAAAGCACAAACACCTATTCCTTTATAATAAGAATAATTGGTAAAAAATCAGATGTGCCTGTGTCTATGGAAATTACAATCTTCTGCCCTTTCTCAGCAATTAGTCAAGGCTTCTTGGCCAAAAAATACAAAATCCTGTAAGGAATGACCCTCTGTGTTTGAGTCTTTGAGAGCTTTCCACAAGTAGGCTTCTCTGTTCATTGACAGAAGTGCTGGACCATCAGCTAACTCCTTTTAAGACAATGGATGACTTTCTGACTTTCTCTGGATGCATTGTTTTCCAGTTTACTCTGATCATAAAATCTCACAATCCTGATGTTGCTGATTTGTGGACAGAAAGAGAAGACCCCTGAAAGTGGAAACACTTTCTACTTCAGGGTTTAGACTCAGATAAAAATCCAAATGTCATAATTATTAAAACAAAGCCAAATAGAGCTCTTTCCAAAAATGTGTTAGGATGTTGCTTCTACATTGTCTGCTGAGAGCAGAGTGTGTAGGGAAATCTAGTTGTGCATATATGAGAGGATTTTGCTCTCAGTTTTCTCTAGCTCAGAGCAAACAGCTGTCAGCAGCTGGAGTACATTACATGATCTTCTGAATATTTCTTCCCATTTAGTTCTACCAGGAAGGGTTCATTTCCTCCAGTGAGAGATGTGAACCAAAAGCTGGGTTAGAGGGAGAATGAAGTAAGGAGGTTCACTTCAAAAGTGAAAATCTTACCAGCTCTTTCAGTATTTAGAAAAGATCAATTGTCTGATAATTATAATGCAAACCTTTAAAATCAATATTCTATGTACTATCCCTGTGGGTAAAAAATAACCACCAGAACCCTGCAATCTAAAAGCAGTTCATTAGTCAAATGACAAAAAATCTCTCAGCTTCAACTTTGCTTAGAGGATATTTTTACTGGCTAGTTAAAGTGCCAGTAGTTACATGGCAATTGGTTTAAGGCTTCTGGTGGAGGCCTTAAAGCAAGGGCTGCTAATTGCAGTGTAATTGTGGGCAGTAGGATTATGTTACATGTTATGTTACCGTGACAGTCATTAGTGAAGCTTCCCGAGGTAACAATTTAAGCAGGGGTTTTTACCACTGATTTCCTGTCAGTGGGGTTCTTTATTACATAATGTATATGGACCACTCTGTACATAGAGAGTCTCCTTGATTTTTAGTTTGTGGATACAATTTTCTTCTGTGCCAGAGTGTTCAGTGGTTTAGAGACTAAGAAAATTAGGAATTTCTCCATCTCGCCTTTTCACCTCTGCTGCTTATGCATAGAGTCAGCCTTCAGTATTCCACTCCTAAATGGGGAATACAATTCTTCCATTCTTCATTTATTTGACCCTTACACATAACTTTGAATATGGGATTATTGTGTATCACCTTTGAAGCACTGCATGCATGAATCTCAGACAAGCTCTTTCCCCTACATGTGACTTCCAAAGCTTTTTTTCAGACTCACAACACTCACTATTAGCTGCATTTGTCTACAAAGGGACACAGCAATGCTTGTCACTTCATTACTGATTGTCTTATGCTACCAAGGGGCAGCTGAGTTGAAGTTACCATTTCCTCTCTAGGTATCCAGCAGTGGGCTTCCCACTCTACACCCACAAATGTGATTTTAGCAAGCAAATAAGCATCCTACAAGAGAAATTTCACGTGTGAAGTCAACACAGCCTTGTGTTCTCACTTTTCTTATATTGATTTTTTTCCTTGACAGAAAAAATCCACAACATAACCTTCTACACATGGATAAACCCATTTCTGGGATTATGTCAAGAAATACAAATACAAGAATTACAAAAGGCTATTATCCCTGCAAATTAACAAACTCCAGTTTTTGCAGATGCGCTTTAATTTTGAATATCCACAAATCCTGGGACCTAGTGAGTTGCATCTCAAGATCCTCATCTTTTGTATTTGAAAAGCCATGGCTGTCAGGTGAAGTCTGTAGTGACTACATGCTCCATGAATGTAGAGAGACACCCAGTTTTGATGCTTTTGTCTTAAGGTGTGATAACCTTCACCATAATGCACAAAAAAGTCCTCTTTGCACATCCTTGTTTGTGTGGGCTGGGCCCCCTTCTGCCCTGTTTTGTTGGCACAAGGTTTCTCCTGTCCATGTCAGCCTGAGCCCTTCACACGTCAGTCCATGTCACAGCTTCCTCTCTTGATGCTTGTGAGAAGTACTCTCTTGCTGATAAAGTTGAAAGAGGACAAAGCCAGCAAAGAAACATTTATTGATGCAAACAAGTCACCTGAGTCAGATGCATCTCACTGAGGAGGCACACCTCTCTCTAAAATGCACAAAGGTCTGTACCCTTCCTCAACCACTGGTGTCCTGTCCCTTTTTCCTGTCAGGGAAATTGCTGATTTAATTTCTGACTACCCACAGTGCTCCCTTCCCCTCCCCTTTCTGTCCCTCTAAGTAACAAGCACTGATTAACTCCCCTTTTCCTTGCCTCCCACCCCGCTCAAGCGACCTAGGCTCCTGCTAGCTACATCTTTGTCTAAATTACATAGGTATATATTCTTATGGCTGAAGCAAAACATTATTTTATCTCTCACATGGTGGATCATCATCTGCCCACTTGCTGTTTCTAGTTCAAAACTCTTCTTACCAGTTTGCGCAGACCTGACAGACATGAGAAGCTGTTTTGGCATACTCAGTCACATTGGACCAACTACCCAACTTGATGTTCAAAATGGGCCTGTGCTCAAAAAAGCTGAAGCTTTAATCAAGACCAGCTGCAACAGTGGTTGTTGACCTGTACCATCTATCTGCTCCTCCTCAATCTCCTCTTTCACTGGCAAGTGGCACCTCTGGGCCCTGGCATCCCTGGTCCTCACTTCCAGAGCTACACACTCATTCTTGCTCTGCTCCAGGTCTCCCCTGGTATAGGGAAGGAGTGAAAAATAAGGAATGTTTCTTATGTTTTGCCTCTTAGAAAATTAAGGTTTGAAAGTTGAAGTGTTGAACTGCCTCTAACAAAAACTTTAGAAACTGCTTTATTTTAGAAAACTAGGCATTCTGCTTCAAGTCATTCAGAGAACTTGTAGTTGATACATCAGCAGAGCAAGTAATAAGCTTTGAAACATCAGACCATCCTGCACACCAATGAAGCCACCTTCAAGGAAGCAAATAAAGTCATGATGGATGTGACCAACCTGCCCCCTTGTCTAAATTCTCAACAAAGTGCCATAGTCTTTGCTGTCCTTCACTGTCCTGGCTACTCCTACAAAGCTGTTCATCCCTCCCCGTCCCCACCCCTGCTGGTCTGGCCACCTGGCTCAGCTCTCCTGCTGGATTGCTGGCCAATTCTTGGAGGAACTCCACCAGGGAAAGACCTATCATGCCTGATAAAGATCTTCCCCATGCACTCTGCAAGCCGTGCTGGACGCCTGGTAACCACTTTCCTGTGGTTTTCATAATTATTCTTGGACATTTCCTATTTTTCTATCTCCTTTCTCTCCTTCCTTCATGAGAAAAAAAGTGAGTTATCTCTTTTTTTCCAAACATCCAACCTCGTTTGTATTTTAATCTCACTTTAAGATATGTCTAGAACCTCATTCCTTTGCTCAGTTGTGGATCAAAGCAAAACTCACCTCCCCTCATCTTAAGGAACTGGAACATCTGGCTGTATGGTTCTCGAACTGGCCAAGAAGTAGAGAAGCCTTACCAGCCTCCCCACAGTAGTGCTGTGAAGCAGCACATTTCCTTTATCCTGACCCAGGCCAGGTGAGGTGACAGGAGGGGACCTCTGCCGCCGTCTGTCATATTAACAACTTCTTTGCAAGCAGTATGAAAAAGAGATGGAACAGTAAGTTCCAGACAAAAAGACTAAAGAGAATTTAGGACTGAGGATCTATAACAGCTTTGTTATGGAGAGTTGGTGCCATGGTAGTTTTATGTGTTGCTCAGTCTTTTACTACATTTCACAGTTCCAAGACTGGAAAAGGATGATGATTTAGTATGCTTATACAAATCAGAGCTTTCAAGTTTGCTGTGCTTCTTAGTGATTAAAAAGAATGTCTAAGTGTCATTTGGTTTATACAATATTGGTAGCCACTTATTAGTGCTAGAATTAGGGAAACCCAAATCCAGTAGCTAATTTTAAGTGATGAGTGAGATTGCCTTCCAAATGCTTCAATTACATCAGCAAATACTAGCTCTGTTGCAAATAAAACACAGTGGAAGCCTAAGAGTACTGCAGTAATAAAAGCTGATTATTTTCTCTCATGTGATCAATGTCACATGATTTTCTGCTGTGATTTCTGGGTGGTTTTTTTTTCAGAGAAGAGACTGGCCTGATGAAAAAACCTGTGTCAAGTAAATAATATGTAATGTCCAAGTGTGTTACTCAGGCTTCAGCCTTAATGCTTGAATTCAATATAGATCTAAAGTTTATATGTTGAAATGTCTTGCAGTAGCAATTTCCAAAGTCTTCAAGAAACACTGAGGGTGAAGTTGTGGGGTGGAAATTTGGGGACTGCACTCAGTACCAGGCTGGGCTATTCTGGTTTGAATAGCAGGGATCAGAGGGACTTTCAGCACCCTGGGGCACCATTTCCTTCACAGTCACCAATCTGGCATCCAATAAATACTTAACTGACTCCCTTCATAGGCATCCTACACAGCTGAGGCTGCAGCATTCCAGCAATGCCCTTCTTTTTGTTAGTGCAAACACGGGCTCAACTGTGGTAATGCCTCAATCTCAAGAGGAGTTTTTGAATAGGTTTCTGAATATGCTACAAATCATTTAAAAAGCAGAATTATTTTGTTATGCAAGGTTCAGAAATAGTTATTTTCTTTTCAACAGGACAACAGCAATTCTTATGTCTTTATGCAAATTA